ATTCTGAGATCTTCGTGTGTGTTGTGCTGGCGTTTGGGGAGTCGGGGTATTTCTATTTACCCAATGATCCAATAGAAGGCTTTAAATCAAGAAGTCAAGAACCTCCAAAATTCTCCGTTAATGAATTGCTGCTGTACTTCAAAGGGAACCACTGCCCACATCTGATCCTCAAACCAAAAATTTTTTTGATACAGGTAATTATAATGCTGACAAATTTTTAGCTCAATTCAACGAGGTTGGGGGATCTTATGTGATAACCCCGACGTCGATGTCTGCATAAGCGACTACGATTAAAGTTTTCGGTTTAGTTTTCTTATTAAGTATTTCTATGTCCTGTATCAATCACAGAAGACGCTTCTAGTGTGTTTCATTACACCAGTAAGGTTTCAGAGGCTTCAATTTCATCAAAGGAATGACCAGTGTTTTAGAGCAGATTGAAGTTTTTGGAGCAGGTCCCATTTTCAAATACCCGTAAGCCCGATGTTGACCAAACTTGCAATGATGATACAATGCAAATATCGAACTTGCTTTGGATGCTGGATCTGGTGTAGATTTTCTGAATAGGGAACAAGTTTGAAGTTTTTGAAACAGATTCATTTTAGAATATTTACATTTTCAAATATTTTCCTGAAGATTGCTTATAAAGACTTAAAACCAGGCATTGTTTTCATGAAATACTGTGGACGAGGACGAAATAGCTATTGTGAGATCTTAGTACTGTACTTGACATCAAAACGATAGTGCATACTATTTTGCTTCAAAAGGATCGTTGAATGATATAAATAAGTAGCTAGGCTACCCGAACCCAAACGATGTAAATATAAGATAAGAATTCCGTTTTTGAGGTTTCATGAGATATATGGACAACAAATTCACGCTTCATGAAATAAGCCGGAGTGAAGCGTCCTAGTTCATGGTGAATCCCTCAAAATTATTTATTTCTTGAGAAACTGTAGGAGCTGCCTCTGATACTTGAATTGTTTTCCATTATTTAGTTGAGTAACTAGGTTAAAGTTTTCGTGCAGGTCCATTACCAAGAAACTATAATACTTATCTGAACCAAACTTGCTTGGATGATGCATCAAGGTACGTAGACTCTGAAACTTGCTTCAGATACTGAATTTCAATGAATTTTCTGGTTGAGTGACTAAGTTTGAAAATTTTGGATTAGTTCATCCCAAATTAACTCTTCTGAATCACCTTCCCTTTCCAGCATGAATCCTTTAAATTATTTATGATTTTGGGATTCCTACGTGTGTACATTTGAGCATCAGACATAATAGGAAACAATCAAAAAATTACCATCTTATTTTGTTCACTCAAATTGAGTATAATGCAGCTTTTTAAGAGTTTTTTTATTTGGCAGTTTTTAGTTTAACTAGCTGTCATGGTAATCGTAACGATGGAGCAGATTTCACCTAGTAAAGAATCTGACCTACAATGAGCAAGAGCCATCTTATGCATAAAATGACCCTGTACTTATATCAATTAATAAACTGTCACCCTCTTTTTATGCGCCCGGATCGATAGATCCCGGGCGTATATTGTTTTTGTCCTGTCTGTTTGTCTGTTTGTCTGTTTATCTGTTTGTCTGTTTGTCTGTTTGTCTGTCTGTCTGTTGTCAACTTTAACCTTGGCCATAACTTTTGAACAATAAAAGATAGAGACTTCATATTTGGTATGCATACTCCACTAATAAAGTCCTTTCAAATGACATCAAGGTCAATGACCTTGTGACCTTGACTGTGACCTATATGCTAAAAATAGCTTTTTCCACTGTTTGTCATAACTTTTGAACCATAGGAGATAGGGACTTCATATTTGGTATGCATACTCCACTAATAGAGTCCTTTCAAATGACATCAAGGTCAATGATCTTGTGACCTTGACTGTAAACTATATGCTAAAAATAGCTTTTTACACTTTTTGCCATAACTTTTGAACCATAGGAGATAGGGACTTCATATTTGGTATGCATACTCCACCGATTAAGTTCTTACACTTTTTGCCATAACTTTTACCATAAGATAGCATATTTGGTATTTCCACCGATTCAAATGACACCATGGTCAATGACCTTGTGACCTTGACTGTGACCTATATGCTAAAAATAGCTTTTTCCACTGTTTGTCATAACTTTTGAACCATAGGAGATAGGGACTTCATATTTGGTATGCATACTCCACCGATAAAGTCCTTTCAAACGACGGCAAGGTCAATGATCTTGTGACCTTGACTGTGACCTATATGCTAAAAAGAGCTCTTTACACTTTTTGCCATAACTTTTGAACCATAGGAGATAGGGACTTCATATTTGGTATGCATACTCCACTGATTAAGTTCTTTCGAATGACACCATGATCAATGACCTTGTTACCTTGACTGTGATCAATATGCTAAAAATAGATTTTTTGAACTTTGTTGCCGCCGGGCGCATAGTGTTTCACAAACACATCTTGTTCATTTCATATATCAAAATAAATTAGACACTTGGTGCTTTCATTTTCTATAAAAAAAAATTTGTTTTGAGAATCCAGATATTGAAAAACAGGTTTGCGAAATTGCAATGTTCTTGAAATTTGCAGAAACCATGTGCATTTGACTACCTTCAGCAAAGAGTTAAAATATTAGCACAGCCTACGATCCAAAAAATAAAACATGTATTTTGATCTTCAGAAACAGTGCTTTCATTATGAATTTGCATATTTTGGATCAGAGGTTGTGCTCTATTTGCAATATTGAAAAAATGCTTCAACTTTAGGTCATTTTCAAAGGAATTTACCGGATATGAAGAAAATGACGCATTTTATGACGTCATAATGCACTGACTAGATGGAAAATTACGTCACGATTAATAGAAACGTGGTCATCAACACTCCAAGTGATAAATACTGCATTTGCAACCTGAACTTAGCGGTTTTGATAATAAGGCCCAAAGTGGCTCTTGCTCTTTATGAATGAGCAACCATATTTTGAGTTTTAGGAGAACATCCTTTCCCAAATAACTATAAGTCTTTTGTGCCTAACATGGAGTTACACTGTCAGAAATGATTTGTACGACGGTTGTCCGCTAAGTTCGCGGAGAAAATCAATACTTACTGAAAAACATTGATAAAAAATTTTAAAATGAAACTTTTATTTTCATTAAATTTATGTTTTATTTTATACACATGCAATTTTTTAACAAAAACAAAGCACAAATAGTTATATTTTTATCAGATACAAAAAAAGACATGTAACTTTAATCAACACAGTCACTTTTTAACTAAATATTTTTACTTAAATACTTAAGACCGGCTTCCTTTAATACATTTTCCCGACTGCTTACACCATTTATGGGTCTCTGTTGGTGTCTTTCCAATGAATCTCTTCGCAGAATTTCATGACTGCTTTCTGCTCCACCTTTTCCGACAAACGTACTTTTTTAAAACAAAGCCGATCCTGTCTTAATACATTCTAATCTCGATTTCTCAGCCATTTCTAAACTCTAAAAGTTCAAATTTTATAGGTTTGAAGTTTTTAGTTTTGTATACCTCATAATGTAAAAGCAATCCAATTAAATTTCCGCGGAATTTTACAAAATACAAATAAATTTTTAAAGTGATAAAAAAAAAACTTTTTAATTAAAATTTTGCGGTTGTCCGGGTCATCATCCCAAGTCTAATAATGAAGTCATTATTATAATAATATACTGTAAACCAACTTTTATTCGCGTTCAACAACTTTTTGCGAAGTTTGCGAGAGCCTCGTCATCGCGAATATTTCTCACCGCGAACCAATTCTTGAAGCGTATGTGTCTATTAACAGCAGATTCAAGAGGGCTGTGATCGCGAAAATTAATCTTCGCGAACTAGTTTATCCCTTGTTAATCGCAAAATATAGTCTTCGCGAATAAAAGTTGGTTTACGGTATTTAAAATTGAATATAATTTTACATTTTGTAAATCACATTTAGTAAAGGATTACAAATATGATAATAATGAACATAAATGACACCATTTTTATTTAAATTATAGCTTGTCTATGACTTACGGACAACCCTCATAGGCCAAATTATGCTCTTGGGACATAAAACTAAATTAAACCCACTTTTGATCCCAGTCTCACTTTTACAATTAGAATATAGTCGAAAGGTGGGACTGAGATTAAAGTGAGTTCATTTTAGTTTTATGGCCCCGGAAGCTGATTCAATATTTTGAGAGAGGCTGTAGGGTCAGAAATGTTTGCATCTACTGTAAGAAAGTAAACAAAAAGAATACTTGTTTAATTTATATTAATAGCAAGCAGTTATGTGGTTTGAAAGTTTACTTTACTTAAAAATATTTTTGGGATAATAAAACTTCATTATTTTTGATTTTCTTTATGTTAAATCTGCAGACATGTAACCCTAACCTTGACCAGATAAATAAAGCCAATTTTGCTGCGGTCGGAGGACTGCTGCCCCAAATACAGAGGTCCCCCATAGAAGCAGACATACTTATCTATCAATCAACTGTGTCAGGTAAGATTTAGGGAGGAGACGGGGGGGGGGGGACCCCTTTACTGGTATATAGAAAGAGACATACGTATCTATCAATCCATTGTCTTAGATAGAATTGGTGCATTATGAAAATTTGTTTCCATACACGGTTGCAGTTATGATACTATAGCTTTAGAAAAATAAAGATTCTGTGCTTATTCTGATATAAATTTTATAACTCCTTTACTTGACTGCAAATTTTATTTCAAAATCCCTGTATTGCATCCTTCCAGGAAGTTACAATTGATGGAAGAGCGAATGCAAAAGCTTCTGTGAATGTTTGATTTTGGATAATGATCGACTACATTAATATAACACTTCCACGATATTCTCCTTTTGTGACGTCAACAGAAAATGCATGTTTAAAACTTTGACCCTTTGTTCATTTAATAGTGTTTTGAATGCCATAGAATTCCACCCACTCCACATGCAAAATACACATATAATGTAAATATTCTTCTATAAATAAACAAATGAAAAATAATTGTGATTTTGCAGGTGGTTATACTGATAGAATGAAAAAAAAAACGAAGTCGAGACTAGGAAAGAACATTGACCATAAAAGAAAAAAGTCGGCCTGTCAGTTTGTGTATGCCCTCTACAAGGAGGTCAAAGCTCTCACTGACCACAGGGAAGAGTTTGAACTGACCGATCTCATCCTCAACGTCAATAAGTCACTAGAGGACTTCATTGAGAAGGAGCATTATAAATCTGACGAGAGAAACAAACCCTGGAACATAGAACCTCCCGAGGTCCCAGTGTGTATAAATCAACTGACCAAGAAACTGGTGCTAAAGACACAAAGATGGAATTCTACTCAGAGACCTATACATTGTTGTATACTATGATATTTTTGTTAATAATATATTTTAATTATAATATATGGAAACCTTTTTGAGATAATTATATAGGATCTCCCATGTTTGTAGTTGGATATGATTTTTATCTAATGATTTAAGTGGGTTTTCTTTATCCCAGAGCCTTGGCTGTATCCCAAAGGGATTAAAAACACAATGCATTTGATAAAAAGCAAATCCAACTTCAAATCATGGGATATTTTTTTATCTCATGTTCAATGCTTCACAAAATATGTTTTACACAGTTTTTCCATAGAACTCCCATTTTATTATACTTCATTATGCTAACACATAACCACTGTGATGTTTGAGGGATATCAATAAAATATCAAATGAGGTGCATCCAAAAGATAAAGGGGTAATCATGGATTAAATTATAAATGTGTTTGAAAGAAGGATAATACTAGAGTCTTTCTCTTTACATGTAACATGTACAATAAAAATTTCAGGAAACAAAAATTTAACTTGATATTGTTACATAGTGTATCCAATGTGTCTTGTCCATACATGCAAGATTTTCATTCTTTTTTGAAAAAATTAGTTTGAGAGAGAGAGAAAGTTTCAATTGAACATGTTGAATGTTAACATCAAATACTTGTAACTAAGTAATCTTTTCATGAGGTTTTTCACAGTTTCATGCATTAGATAATGCTTGTTTTAAAATTTTCACATGGATTTTAAAGAAGCTGTTAAATTTTAAATGACACATGCATCATTTAAAGTCTAATTTGATGTATGTAGAAACAACAATTATATATCTTTAAAATGACTAATATGTACACTTTTATATGTATTTTTACTATTCAAGTAATCATCTACTAACATATTGTAAATTTTATGCAAAAAAAATTGTATGTAATCTTGTTTGGCGAATAGATAAAAGAAAATGAAATTAAACTTGTTATTAACGACTCTAGGGGTTTATGTAGTCCAAGGGCTGATACCCTAGTATTACTTTCCATCAAGACCAAATCAGATGTTATTTTTAGGTCACCTGATTCACTCGGGTGACCTATTACTATTTGGTTTTTGTCCATTGTTATCAGTTCTTATGTACAATTTATCTTGGTGAGCTTGAGATATAAGTTACCACAGAGTCTGACACATCTGTTTCTACTTCGATATTTTAGTTGAAAAGGATGTTAATCTAAAAACCAAGCTCTATGATAAACGTGATGACTTTAACTTTACTATCGTCATCTTCCCTTACTTATGCAGCAATATCACCTGCATACGGAATTTATTATATATCTCATTTGATTAGATATGCAAGAGCATGCTCTACATATGAACAATTTCTTAAACGAGGTAAATTATTGAAAAACAAGTTGATGAAAAAAGAATTTTAGCTGTCTCGTTTAATGCCATCATTTTGTAAGTCAATACAATGACCTTGTCAGCAAATACAATTTATCTTTGAGTCAAATGCTCACATGACTGACGGTTTTCATACCAATTGTTAGTCCATTATTTATGGACTGAATTGACGACGGATTTTTTCGTGATTCTACGATCATGATAACTAAAGCGCACACGGTGGGTGTGACGGGTCGGCAGGGGATGCTCTCTTCTTAATTGCACCAGATCTCACCTCTGTTTTGGAGGTCCTTGTTTGCTCTGCTCCTTTGTATTTTTTATTTGATCTTGAATACTGTTTGTTAGCTCCATAATTGTTTCATTGTTTGGCGAATAGATAACTGAGATTGACATTAAACAGGTTATAAACCACTCTAGGGGTTTATGTAGTCTAAGGGCTGATGCCTAAGTGATACTTTCCATCAAGACCAGTCATCTTATTTTGAGTTCACGTTATCCACTTAGGTGATCTATTGCTAGTTGGGGTTTGTCCATTTTCATCCGTCACGCATCCTTTGTAAAATTTTGACATTTTCACAGGTTCTTCAATGAGGATATTTTTGTGCGAGAATTGAAATTCATACAGTATGTAGCAGTAAATTTATGCATTCTGTGTAAAACAAAAGTGCGAGTTCAAATACAAGTAAGGCAATTCATGGGCCAGTGGTGTATATTCCATGTAAGCTGAAAGTGGCCATTGGTGTTGCACTAAAAATGGTAAATTAAAATATTCATGCAAGAATTTAGCTGGTAGAGCAAATAAAGCTGGGTACTTATCAAGGTTCAACAGTAGGCTGTTACAATTTTTCAAATTTGCGAATTGTTGCGACTATTTTCATTATATAGAGTATATTAGGATTAAATTTATCATACTTACTGTTTGGACAAAAATTGGTTGTTTTCTTTATCCAAAAAAAAAAAAAGAAGAAAAAAATTCGTTTATGGAAGTATGGTATTTATTTATTATTTAATTTTTTCTTGTGGTACAACGATAAAATTTTAAACATATTCATTAAAAAAATCTTTTTATCATAAAATCTCTAATTTCCCCCAACCCACACCAAAGGGAGGGGGCACTCCGTTCCGATCCTACTCCCACTCGGCGCTTCGCGCCTCAGGTAAATCGCCAATAAAGAAATTAAAAACCCACACGTGAACAGACAGGAATGGCGCTGGATGAAATATATTTTTGGCTTATGAGGTTAATATTGATACCATACCTTTATGATTACATTGATACAACTAAAATTTAAGAGAAAACCTGGCAAATAATTGGCCAACAAATGTCATTCAATAATACTTAAAGTTCCTTAAATTTTTGTTCATTTGTGCAAGCTATTTATGTGGGATTTTCCTACTTTCGTTTTTGACAATCATTTTCTACATAGAAACGCAGGTGCTATTAGTTAGAATTAAACAAAAATCAACACAGGCTAACTATTGAGGTAATAGAAATTTAAGACATTATTTATGCATGTAAGCCATTATATCTGTTGCTTATCATCATTTGTAAGTAATAAATATTTTAAATTTCTGATATAAGAAAAAAAGGTTTAGCTATAAATGGGTAACTACATTGTTATGAATTATTTTAGTGTATCTGATGAGTACACTACATTATTTGCTACACCAATTGTTTGTTCAAGTTTATTCTAGTTGTGTTCTGCTTTATTATTATTCTTATATTTAATTTTTTTTCTCTATGGACTTTTACCAATTACGGAAAAAATAACCATAATTGTGCATTTGTTGTGTTTGTTTCAATGAAAAATTTGATCATAAGTTTGGACATGTTCCCTATATATTATATATCAAGGATTAAATTATGAATAAAATTTATGTTTGTGTTCAGGAAAGTGCCTATGAAATTGTTCAAAAGAATACGTCTTTTTTGCTTATTTATATATGAAACCTTAAACTATTGAACTTGGATGGGTGTTCCTGTATGTTTTACCGTGAAAAGGTAGATGCATGACTGGTGCTTTTATCATGCCTAACAGATACGTCAAGCATCGGTTGCTATGAATAAAGACAAATTATCAGGCGAAACATACCGGTATTTATTTTTCTAATATGGAGCTTTAATTGAGTTCTAATGAGCTGTGTTACTTTATTTGTAAAATATATTAATTCTTCAATTTATTTCTTAGTTATTCCAATAATGTGTACTGTAGCTTGTTAATTCATGTATTCAGAATTATTCTTGTGATTATTTCTGTTCAAAAGAATTTATTTGCCATATATGCAATGAAATATAATGTATCTAACGTCTGTATAACATTCGTGATTTTGTTTTTTTTGTATAAGAAGGTACTTGAATGTTTCACACTCTTTCTCAGTAAAAATATAGATGATCTAAATGTAAATCAGGACAAAAATTTCACTGTTAACTCATTAATTATACGAAGAAGGATCTTTCTTAAAGAGACTTTCAAAGAATATTTTTGAATAATGACATTTTAATGTACACATTTTCTTACTTTTTGATAGGAGATTAAATACAATGTCATGTATTTTGGGTTTCCCAGAACAAAACACTGACCTTCTTTATTTTACAATACTGAGTAGACTCTGATCAACAACTCCTCTTATAAGTCTACCACTGAATGAAATCTAACGAGACTTTCACATCATGCCATTGTTCACCTCCTATTTTTTACTTTTTGATCTGACATTTATTTGTGGACTTTGCCACTTTATCATATGGAAGGCAAGGCTTATTTTTTTTGTACCTCTAGTTAATTAATTATTACGTGTAGCAGATGAAGTGTATTTGTTGTCAATGTTTTATCAATGATTATTGGTCTTTTCTCTTTCGAAACTAATATGTTTGCTACAGGCCTGCAGCTAATCTAAAGGAAGAAAATTTTCTTGATCGCACATGATTGCCGATAACTGCAACCTTGCGGCAAACACTGCAGCACTTGC